AGAGAGAGAGAGAGAGAGAAGGAGACACACACACACACACACACAGAGAAAGAGAGAGAGAGACATAGAGAGAGAGACAAAGAGAAAGAGAGAGAGCGAGAGAGAGAGAGAGAGAGAGAGAGAGAAAGAGAGAGAGAGAGAGATAGATGTATCCAGGAGATCCACTGACGTTATGGGCATCCCCGGATCCAACAATAAAGGCGGCGATAACAGAACCACTGGCGGTACGTATTGTGTTCAGATTCTGCCTGAAGATCCTCAATCTCTCTGTGGTGTCGACTCTGGTAGCGGGAGGAGTCTGTGGAGCAGGAAAAGACAATTTTATAATGCTGAATCAACAGTGGTTGAGGGAACATCCATCCATCCATCCATCCATCCATCCATCCATCTATCTATCTATCTATCTATCTATCTATCTATCTATCTATCTATCTATCTCTCTATCTCTCTATCTCTCTATCTCTCTATCTATCTATCTATCTATCTATCTATCTTTCTATCTATCTATCTATCTATCTATCTATCTATCTTTTACTCGGTTTCCTAATTCTTGTCCTGGTCTGCTGGTCCTCCTCATCCTTAACTGAGTGGTGGGATGTGGTGAAGGAATAAAGGGCTTGAACCCCACCTACCCCAACCCCAACACTTTCTCTACGTAAATGTAGGTATCTTAGTTAACGAAATACTCAGCTGATACCGTTACGACTGGTTCCGAATCGCCCACCCCCAGTTGCCCAAACAGTGAACACACTCACCTCTTTTTTTTAAAATTCAATCCCTGTTGTCACCGCTCAAAACGAAAGTAACCTTGCTGCTAATCAACTTTGGGGCTCAGCAGAGGCTTGTTATGTCGGTCGTTGCACTCTTAGTTTCAATAATAACTTTTTAAAAATCTTTGCGTATGCCTGATTGAAAGCAAACCAAGAGATAATTTTGTTTTACAAGTTTGGTGTGCAATTTGACAAACACCTTTGTGCGGACTAAACTTGATAAAAGGCTAATTGTGATTTAAGAAGCTAGAAACAACTGGGTTTTCTTTGGTCATCCTAATTTCCTAGAAGCGTGTTATGTCAGTCGTTACACTTTCAGCTATTTATATTTAAGTACGCCTAGTTGTAGCAGCCAACAGACAATTGTGTCTTAAAACCTGGGTGTGCAATTTTAAAAGCACCTTCTAAAGGACTGAACTTTATAAAAGCCAAGTTGTGGTCTGAGAAGTTAAACATAACTTTATTTCTTTTTCATTTTAATTTTCTATGTAACTTGTTATGTCGGTCGTTGCATAAGATTTTTTTCATAATCGATTAATTCTCGGAGTATTAGTAGTTGTTACAACCAACAGAAAATTGTATCGTAGAACCTAGTGTGCAGTTTCACAAGCCCATATTTACGGAAAAAACTCTATACAAGCCCAATTATGATAATATGGGAACCTGGAAACAGGTGCATTTCTTGGCACCCCAATTTCTTATTTACTTGTCATGTCGGTCGTAACACTCTCAGCTTCGGTTGTAAAATGTGTATTGTTGCGCATGCCTAGTTGTAAAAACCAACAGGTTATTGTATTTTCAACCTTGGTGGTAAATTTTCCAAGCACACTCGTACGAAGCAAACTCGTAAAAGCCTACTGAGGATCTGAAAAGTTAGAAACAGTTTTGTTTCTTTGTTATTTTCATTTCTTTCGTTACTTGTTATATCGGTCGTTACACTCTCCGTTTTTTGCTATACATGTAATCGATTCATTTTCGTTTATAACAATCAACATATTTTTGTGTTTTGCAGCAAGGGTGCATAATTTCATACCGAGATTTGTACGGACTATATTCTTCAAAAGTATAGCTGTGATCTTAGGAGCAGGGAAAAGCTTTATTTCTACGTCAACCTTATTTCTTTAGTAAATTGTTATGTTGGTCGTTACACTCTCAGTTTTGATTATACTTTATTCATTTTTGTGTATGCCTAGTTGTAACAACCAACAGATTAATGTATTTTACAATCTGGGTGCATACTTTTGCAAGTAGCCTAATTTTTATCTATAGATTCAGATGTATTTTTTTTACATCCCAATTCCTTAGCTGAGTTAGTTTTTACACTAGCAGCATTTATTATAATCCATCTTATGTTGTGTGTGCCTAGTTGTAACAACCAAGAGATATTTGTGTTTTACAACCTTCGTGTTCAATTTTACAAGTACCTTTGTACAGAATAAACCCTATAAAAACATTGTTGTGATCTGAGAAGCTGAAAATAGCCTTATTTCTGTGTCAATCTGATTTCTTTAGTAACTGGTTATGTCAGTCGGTACACTCACAGCTTTGGTTATTATTTATTTATTTTGAGTATGCCTTGTTGCTCCAGTCAAAAGACACTTGTGTTTTAAAAACTGGATGTGTAATTTCAACAAGCAACTTTGTACGGAATAAACTCTTCAACGTCTTTTTGTGATCTTCGGAGCTGGAATCAGCTATATTTCTTTGCCATAATAACTTCTTTAGTTGTTTGTTGTTTCTTTGGAAGCTTAGTTGTGATATGAGAAGTTGGAAACAGCTGTATCACTTCGTCATCCTAATTTCATGTATATTTATACACATAATTTTACATATATACTTGTGCAATTTGATAAAACCTGTTGTGCGATTGTGCGTGCCTGTTATGATGCGTGTGATTCTCTCTCTCTCTCTCTCTCTGTCTCTCTCTCTCTCTCTCTCTCTCTCTCTCTCTCTCTCT